CTAGGGATATACCCTTTTATTACTATCAATTGATATTAAGAATAATTTCTATTTAATTGACGTCCAATTGGCTGAAATTTTGCACTTGTTTATTTTACTAAATATCATTTTGAGGACTTACTTATCTGTAATATCATATGCATAGAGTGAAGTTACCAAATTAAAAACCTATAGTAACCAGTTTATATCCGTAGACCCATCCATTCTTAAAGCCATCAATTGATATAAAGAGTTAATCGAATACTTAGAAAGTATACAAACACAACTTAACTAAGTCAATGCGCTTAAGAAGCTGCAGCATAGCCTGTAAGTTAATCTAAAGGGCTAGTAATGTACAATGAGCTGCAACAACGCCCATAAGCCTGTGCGCACCAGATTAACGCGTCTATGAAGTCTATGATATGGCCAGGAATGCCTTACACAAAAAATGTAATAGTATAATTGAAGGCTTGTACTGTAGGGTTGCCTAAAGGATGGGCATGCAGTAAAAGGAGGACAATAATGGATGAAGAGATTCCTTTAATAATGATATGGAATGCTTTAGATCAATAATATTGTACTTATAGAATTTGGGTGTTTCTCTATTTGTTAGATACTGCGTACTTCAGTCTACATAAAGCGACAATTCTAAACATGGATGGCCTTTTTTTTCAAATAAATATAAAAAATTAGATGACTACTATAAAAATTTATGGTAAAAATGAGGTTCTCGCCAGGAACATGTAGTTTCGAATCTGAAGTTGAGGAACCGTTGCTGCTGACAAATTATCCCGGCTGACAAATGGAGCCAAATCTTTACCTCAGCATACTCAGACGGTTCCGGTTTAGCGCAATTTTTCTGCCGCCCCACATAACTAACCGGGTAGGTCAGAAGGGTCGGCTGAGCCCGAATAAGCAGGCGGTCAACGCCGGTCACGCTAAGATCCTTTGCGGGAGGGTCGGTGTTGAGACAACCAGATCTCATATAATTAACTACCACATTCTATCTTACAATAATAATTCCCACGAATCGACTGCGGTTCAATAGGAAATGTACGAAGAAATGTATCAAGGCGATATTTTACGGTGCGCACAGTGCAATAAGCCGTTTGATAAGCGTGAGTTGGCTTCCATCATACACTAATCCATTCCTATTGACACTTTTTAGAATCCACGTTAAAGAGACATGGATACTACTGTCGGTCCCGAAAAGTTGGCCAAACCACTCGAAATCGTTCTTGTATTCCTTGTGTAAGAGCGAAGGCACGCTGCGACAACAGGCGACCTAAATGTTCCAGATGCGCGGCCAAGGCTGTTGAATGCCATTATCCAACAAGCTCAAAACCCAAGGACCCAAAGCCAAACATACAGCATAATCATGATGATTCACCAGAACAGCGAAAGGTATCTCCTTCACTGGTGGCAGATTTTCCCGGCATCGAGAACCATGAAGGAACAAGTACCAGTGGCGATATACTTCTCGACATACCAGACCCGGAGTTCGCAAATTTCGCCGAGCGAGGCCTGGACTGGGACTATCCAGATATAAATTTTGCCGAGATTTTACGTCACCAGACAAATGACGAACCTATTCAAAACCCATCACCGGAACCTTCAGCTTTGGTCCGCCTTTCAGAAGCCCAGATAAACCGAGTTCAAGAGTTGGCCTTTTCATCCAATATATCAATGCCAATGCAGCCTACTGGGACTCCTCGATCACTTACTCTGAGAACAGGACTGAAAGCCGGGACTCAAAGAACTGCCAATCTCATGCTTCACATGCTAAAATCTTACCCTTTGATGATGCTGCGCCACAAAACTCTTCCACCCTTTATCCACCCGCATGTGATATCTTTCAACGACGAGAATCTTGATATGGAACCATTGAATAATTGCATTAGTTTGCTTCACATGATTAGCAGTGGGGTTCGAGGAAGCCGAAAACTGTTCTGGAGGAACGTGCGGCTAGAGTGCGAGCGTCTGTGTGAAAACGTATGTTAACCTTATCGTCCTTCTCGGAGGAGGCTAACAGATCATGATTTTAGATTATAAGCTTAAATAAATGGGAGCTTCTTGCTTCTATACAGGCCACTGCTATTTATATTTTGATCAGATTGGACGAAGGCGAGACTGACTACAATAACTTTGATTTTTTATTACTCACAACCGTCACCGTATGTTTGTCAAAAAAGAGATCCTGTTTCTTTCGTCCCAGCTCTAATACCAGAACTTATAGGTACTCTCCAAAAGATTTACCAATTTAAAGATGAATTATACCACACACCTTGAAGATTATGATTATAGTCTCGATTCAAGTTGGAAAAACTGGATTTTGGAAGAATCATGTCGAAGGTTAGTCTTGTGTTCATCCCATTCAAACGATGCCGAAGCCGTACAGATGCTAATTCAAAATAGGGTGAGCGTGGTTTTTCAGACGGTGAACATGCTGGTTTACTTTGAGCCAGCGGCGCTCTGCGATCAGCACACGAACCTTATCTTCGCACCACTGCCTGCGAAAAAGCAGTTGTGGGAAGCAGGCGATAAGTTTTCGTGGAAGGCGGAGAATGATCGAGAATACGGCGCTCATAACTACTTCGGTCTAGCCACAAATGGTGATTTGATTAAACTAGATTGGGGTCACACATATTGCGGCGATGCATCGCTGCTTCATCAGCCATTGAGTAACAAGACTACTGCAAACTGGGAGGAATGGTGCTCGGGAATGGATGGGCTTGGTGGGTTAATCATGCTTGCTGCTTCCTTGGCAGCGTAGTTTTCTTTCTTTCTTTCTTTTTTTTTTGTCTTTTTCCGTATGCCTTTATACTTCTAGAAATGAATCCTTTTGTACGTTACAATAAATAATATCATGCTTTTATAGATGGCTCAGTCGTGGGCAAACAGTGTCTTCATGCAGGACAGATAACTCAAAACATCATTCTTCCACCATGGAGCGGACTTACGAGATACAAACTTCCTTCAGAAAGATAAATCTTTGAGAATGATCTGTTGCTTCTGATTCAGAAGAAGAATACATCACTGTTAACATTTGAATCGTCCTAGTTCTTTGTAAAATTACAGTCCTCTGCTAACAGAAAGACGAAAGCAGTGTCCTAACCGTTGACGCAGCAGGGAATTTGGTTTCAAAGAATTGGCACAAGAAAATGGTAAAATAATGGGACAAACGGAAGACGATGCACGAGAAATGCCTAGCGACGCAGCAGCAGGGAGTATAGATTGGGGGAAGTAAGGCCTAGTTTGCTGCCTTCTATTTTTACCAGTCTTTCCATTCTCAAGTCCAGGTAACCGAAGGCCTCAGTCCAAACTATCCTTCTTAGAATGATCAATGTTACAGTTACTACGGCATTATAAACTATTCGTAGTTCGTTGCGATTGTAGAGATATTTACACGTTACAGTAGTAAAATATCAACCGATAGAGAACACTGAATTGATGCACGTTTAAGTCAGTTTCCACAGTGAATCTAGTTGATAGATTTTATATATAACTTTATGCACATAGACTAATACTATATTAGTAAAAGTTGATATCTATTGATGTTTTGACAGCTTTACGCAGTTAAGCCCAAGTACCTGATGCTTGTTGGGCGCCATTAGTGTCCTATATATGGTTATCATTCTCTGCCATTGGGACTAAGACATCAAGGCGAAAATAGATCATATCAACCTCAAACGGCAATTTTCTGTCGTTGTTCGAAATAGTCCAGCAGAATAAGAGATGTCTCTCGGCAGCAAAAGGCGAACCGTCTACTTCCCCTTCTCATTCTCCATAAACCATCGCACGCTCCGCTCAAGACCCTCTTGCATGCCTACCTTGGGTCGATACCCAAGAACCCGTTTTGCTTTTTCCCCATTCAGTGTACGAATAAGGGTACTGAATCGAATGCCCTCGCGGGTCATATTCGCGGGCTTGGTGCCACCAGAAAGCAGCCATGCAACCCACTCATTCACGAACCCAAGCATCAGCCCAACCCACTTTGGGATAACAACAATATCTTTTGGTTCAATTGGATTGCCTGTGAGTGCGGAGACTGCGCGCTGGAAATCCCAGAATAGCCAAGGTTCTTCGTTCGTGACGTGGAAGCATTCGCCGTCGACACGGGCAGATGCGTCTGCTGGAGGCGGCTTGCCCCATGCTTTGAGGAGAGCATGAGCCGCTAAAAGGTGTGCATCCGCAAGATTGCCAGCGTAGATGAAATCGTAGGGATTCTGTCCATCGCCTATCTGGAAGCGAGACTTGCCCTGGCGCGCGACCGCGAACATTTTACCTAGAGTACCAATGTCGCGCTCGCCGAATACAAGACCAGGCCGAATCGCGCAGGTCAGAAGGCCACAGTCATCCTGGCCACCATTGCGGTTGGCGGCCTGGATTGCGTCCTCTGCGTCAGCTTTGGCGATGCAGTAGAGTCGCTGCTGTTGCGGGGGGCGCAGGATTGGCATTTCCTCGGTGGCGTCGACAAGGTTGGTATGATTGTCGTTGATAACGCCGTTGGTTGATGTATTGATCAGGGCACGCACGGTGCGTACTTTAAGCGCGGCATCCAGAACATGATGAGCGCCGTCAACAATGACGCGCCGGTAGGCTGTGACAGGGGCATCAGAAAATTCAGGGGATGCGGTATGGAATATGGTGACAGGACGAGCAACTTGCATCACATGCTCTACATCTTCTGGGGAAGCCAAATCGCCTTGGTGGTAGGACACATTTGGAGCATCATGGCGGTTGCGGTCAATATTCACATCGATGCAGTGGATGCAGCACCCGGGCTCTTCCTCAAGGATTTTGGCGATAATGTGGTAGGCTATGAAACCATTGCCACCAGTGACCAGGACAGGGCCGATGCTGGTCATACTGTTTGTAATACTAATAAAAGGGGCATAAAAAAATTAGGAGAGACAAGGACAGATATAGGAGATAGTATAGTCGCTCCGCTGCGTTCCGGGAGGAGGATCATGTTTAGCAGGCGGCGCTTATATAGAAAGATTTCAAAAAAATAACGTATTGGTCGCGTAGCGCAATGGTAGCGCGTTGGTTTTCGGTTTCTTTATCACCAAAGGTTGTGGATTCGAGTCCCACCGCGATCGGTTTTTTTTTCACCGTTGTAATACCTGCATTTCCTAGGAGTTTCCAGCTTACGGGTATTTTTTTTGTCGTTCTGGTAGAATCCTCCTATCCAATCTAGGATTATCCAGAGTTTACTCATACAGTTGTTTATCCCAAAGGGAAGAATATACTTGAGCCATTTATATGTATATATCTATGTAGCCTTCCGTGCTACCCAAATCGAAGGCCGATACAAGTTCTGCAGCATGCTGTCTGGGTCCTGAATATAACCGCAGTAAGGCCTATCGGCCGGAGGTTGTTGCACCTCAATCATAAATCCCATCTGCTGCACAAGATGGAAGACCTCTTCCTCGGTCAATTCGACATTCCCGGGCTCGCCAATACCGTCATTCTGCAAAGTCAATGCGTGGTCTTCATTTGTTACCGGTTGACTGGAAGCATTCTTGGCAGAACGGCGGTCATCGTTCTCAAAATGCCACAGTAAGGGACCAACATTGATCCATAATCCGCCTGGCCTGAGACAGTTTTTTATCGTTTCAACATATCTAATTAAATTAGGACTTGTGTCGATGAAAAATACTGTTGCCACGGCATCGAATGTATCCTTTTGTGCCTCTTGAGAATAAAGTGGAATAAAATCGGCAGCGGACATGCCCATGCTGCCAAACGAAGAAGTGCCATCGTTGTTTTGTGCGAGGGCCATGGCCGAAGCGGGGTGTGCATCCGGTATCATGACTTTTTGTAATTGTTGTTTCCTCGATAAGAGGTTAGAGAAATGTAATGCGAATGGGTATAGAGCGTGCTGGCGAATCCCTCGCGAGTGGTTCAACATCCAGCTACTAGCCAGAAGTTGATGGTAGGAAATTTCATTTCCTTCTGCCGCATATCCGGCAGCGCAGATATCAAAGACAAGGCGTCCTAGTCCTGCTCCGGGAACCAACACACGGATGTCTGACCTGGGCCGATTGGGGTCATTTCCAAATGATTGATCCAAAACAGCTAGCACTGGGTCATAGCAAACCGCTCGCTCGCGTTGGCCTTCTTCACTCCAGTCACGGTAGAATTGCCTGATGGTCGAGTGGGCTTTTCCCACATCGATGTTTGTAGCAGTTCCGTGCCAGTTCTGCCCCGCATCATTCTCGTCTGGACTGGCTGGCAATCCAAAAGACTGTAGACCGGTCTCAAGAATAGCGTCAGCAATGTCGGCGTTTATATCTATAGCGTCATCAACTTGGTTGAAAGTTTCCAAGACGGAAAATGGCGGTTCTGCCAGCATTTTCCAGTGCGCTGACGGCAAGGCATAGAATGATTGGCGACGACGGTGGGTGATGTTCAGGTGCGCTGTCCGGCGATATTGTCTCCATTAAAGTTAGTAGACTGGGTTGAAACAATACAGCAAACATTATAAATGCGATTATCTATAAACACAGACTTACCTAAAAGAGTCCAATGCCGCGAACAGAACCCGGCGTTCTTCTTGGTCGGCGAAAGGATCAAAGTCTCCTTGCCAGCTCCGGTTATCGTCGGCCGTAGCCATATGGCTCGAGTGGTCGTCCTCCGCCATCTGTATAGCTTCCTATATCGCCTACTGTCCCTAAACACGCTGGTATTGTAGCATGTTTAGTGGGATTGTTTGCAGACGTGAAAATCGCCAGTGACAGCAAAGAACCGCGGAAAGATGTCTCGGGCCAATCGGCAGCCCTCCATGTAGAGCCAGTGGGGCGCGCCTGATTTGCATATGTGCACGATGGATTATACACTCACATTTCACATAAAGTATTGACAAATGATCTACGAGGGTATTATAGGGAACAGAGCTATAATTATGAACCCAAAGGGTAAATTTGGTGCTTAGGAAGTTGCATTATTAAGGAAAATATAGAAAGAAATCTTATGAGTATCAACAAAGTAGGTGAAAGAACATGGTTTGACTAGACATTGAAAAAAAATCCAAATATCCCATTGCTTCAGAGTCCAGTATTTCAAGTCAAAAAGCACCTTCGTGTATATTCTCTAGATCTCCATTCTAGACGAAAGTCTTCCCTCTTACTGATGAACCTCGCTCAAGTTCAATCCAGCAATCTTCGATTATATAGGTGGTAGTCTCATACATAATAAGGCGATCTAGTTCAGCAATTTTTGAATCAAACATGTTACACCCTGCACGCTATTCCCACTTCTATCTTCTGTAGGTCCTGCCACTAAAGCAGGATACATGCTCTGCAACTTACAGGGCCAACTAGCGTTGCAGGTTGAAATTCGAGTATATGAGGCTACTTCAAAGCCTTTTAATGGTAGGAGCAATTCATAATGGTACCGTAGAAGAAATAATATTCCTGTTAGAAGCCAGTGATTTGCTCCTCTGGATGATTCATAGTGAGGTTGATGATTTCTGGCCGAGTAACGACTTTGAAAACATCAGAACGTGTTAACTTGTTATGTTTGGATAGGTAGTTTCTCACCAAAAACCTTTGATCTCGCGTTAAATTAGCGGATGAATCGAAATTTCTGATTCTTCGTGGTGATTTGCGTGATGAAGACTTTCCAATAATCTTAAGATGGGACCCGCATTTCGCTTCTGACTAGTCCCATAGAGGTTAGTACGGTGATCAGCCAGTCGCGATATGGCAGTCGCTCACTTGAGTATTCTTTAAAACACTTGTCTGGCTTGTGTCTCTCTCCATAAAAGCAAACGCAACAAATATGGAAACTGAAGCCTCGGCGAATTTTACCTCTGTCTTAGAACCGGCACCACCGTCGCTAAAGCCGATCGAGATATCATTTCCTTTGCCTAGGACCCCGCACACGAATGTGCATATCCATCTGACCGCCATGGCGACGTCAACGATGGTCTTTCTCTCGACTACGAACCCTGGAGATTCGGGCTCAGCGGTAAAACCAATGGGTAGTTTTGTTTATGCCATGCCTGACGTAGGTTACCTTTACTTTGCTCTTAGAAATGAGTTCGCCTATTACTGGGTCTTTTATTCATGTTTTTCAGTGAAGATATATGGCCATCTTCATATATTCTTTATACACGTCTTGTATAAGGCCGCAGCTAACTCTATTTTCAGCGCACAAATTCCCGCTCAACAATCTCGACAACGCTCTACACATCCCCGGGTAGCATTGATTACGCCACAAGGGCTGCCAAGATTCTCGCTCGCAGGATGAAAGTTCCCGTCTATGTCGGATGCAATATAGATCCTGTCGTCACGGGTTCAACCGTCGAGGAGGAGATGGAAGGGTTTTCCAAGATTATTGATACGATAATGACGCGATGGGAGAGCAGGGAGTAATTGAGACGAGAACGGTCTAATTTTTGTACATAGCAAGGCTGGGACATGTTTTGATAAATATAGCCCATTATTTACCGGAAACTAGGCAAGCTTTCATTACCATGGCTATGTATCTGGAAATTATAGATGTTACCGGTGTGTCGACAAAGAGCCACGTCACAGCAGTACGTAAACATACTTCAAGCAAAGATAACGAGTGGAGGCTTCAATCATCATACATGTATGCACTGTAGATCGCCGAGCCCTGGCTTCTCTGGAATGCGGGTTGTATCACTAGTAGTATCATATATCGCTTCGGTACTTGACTGATGCGAGGGGTAGCATTAGCTTATCTTAGCTAAATAGTCGATTGTTCACAAAACCGTCGAATACTAGCTGTATTGATCTTGAATACATTGGGCGCGGCGAAGGAAAAATTACACAAATAAAAAACAGCTGACAGAAATCATTCGATGTTGTTTACTAGGAATATCTAATCTAAATAAGACGAGCAAATTATTTACTAGCGCTAAATTAATATTATGGCAGGATCCTAACGCATAGATCTCTCAGCCATCAACTAACTACGAGCTGCACCGAGATTTTGTAATAGCAAAACAAACAAAATAGGGCTTTCGAAATCGAATTAACATATGCTCCAAATACCTAGGAGTAATGATTAATGTACCGATTACTCAAGATGTATGCCAGGCTCCAGATATTATTTCCAAGGTACTTCAATACTACGAGCTGAAACGACATACGGGATTAAAAATTCTCTCAATTAATCGGCAATAGCTCTGACAATTTAAATCATAATGATGATAATTTGAGGGACCAATAATAAATAGAAGAAAATATGCGAGATCTCTATAACTAGCCCCCAAAAACATAATTTATCACGACACAGCCAATCACGGCCCGCGAAGCACAGCCCTAACCAAGCCTCTCGGTAGTCTGAGGCCAGGCACGATTCAACCTCGAGTGCTGAAGGTTGATTGAGTGTATCGTGACAAATAAACAGGCTAGTTGGGTATTTACTTTCGCATCTGGGGCTCCTGACACACCGGTTAATTATACTTGACATCTAGAATAATGCTGCCTCGTGGAGACCCCACGATGATCACAGTATAAAATTGCAGAGAAACCGCTGTCAGGACTCTTGGATTGCACTTTTTCCTACCATAAACATTGATTAAAACAGGAAATTACACTATGAAGTCAATCTATACGCTTATCCCCCTTTTCGGGGCCGTCGGTGCGAAATCTCTCAACTATTGCCCCCTTTTGGGTGCAGTATACTCTACCCCAAAGACCCTCTGCAAAGATGCAGCCTTTCAGGAAGCGAAGCACAACATATCTCTTTCTTTAGACGCGATTGTCGCTGGGAAATCGTCTCTTCTCGGCTCTACCTACGTTAGCGACACAACATCCCTTTCGGTGCAGATCTGGTCAACGAGTGACTCGAAACCCGAGTTTGAGTACTATTACACCTCTCCATTGACCAAGAATGCCAGGGTTGGCGTTACGGAAGTCAATGAGGATACTGTGTTCCGAATCGGAAGTGCCTCCAAGCTATGGACTGTGCTTTTGTTATTGATCGAAAATGGTGATGCTGTTCTGTCTGACCGCGTCGTGAAATGGGTGCCTGAGCTTGCAGCCGCAGCCAAAGAGATTGGTCGTGATTTCGACAGGATTAATCATGTAGACTGGAACGAAGTTACACTTTTTGAGTTGGCCAG